GTGTGGGGGGGGGGGGGGGGGGCAGTGCTTTTGTTGAACAGGGAAATTATGGAGTTATTTAACTTTAAGGGGCGTGGTTTGTAACCTAGGCTACTACTGCGGGAGGCAGTCGGAAGGACGTTGTAACGTGGAAGGCGCACATAGCGGTGGCAGGTCAAGTGACAGCTGCCCCTGCCACGCACAGATTTTACTCCCTCTCCAGTTTCTTCTTTGCTCTGCGATGTATTTTTTACTGCGTGAACATGATGTATAGTGTGAGAGCGGCATTGTTTGTCGGGGATGGCAACAGTAACTAAGGAGGGCGGGTCTTTGCGAACCGTCAGTTGATGGTGTGGTAGCCTGCAGTGCTGTCCAGAACAGTTACATAGTGTTGGGAGTAACGCATTATAAGTAACGCGAGTTATGTAATCAGATTACTTTAAGTAACTAGTAAATTAACGCATTACTTTTTAATTTAGAATTGCTTTTTCAAATAACTACTTATCTGAAACTGAAAATACCTGAGAAGATCAGGCGTCTTTCCTTCATTCAAAAAGGTTGCAGTTTGTTTAAAAAAAAAAAACATAAAAAAAGACTCAGGCTGCTTTCCACATTGTTTCAGATGTTGCAGTTTGCTGTTTTGGGTATAGGGTTTTGGTATCCTGTCCACCTACAGTAGGTCACTGTGTCCCTCACCTCTGGTAAGCACTCCACCACCCTGTCCATGGCATGTCTCTTCATAAAAACTGGCTTTCAAAAATTACTATACCATATATCAATTTCCAGAAGAAAAAAAAAAAAGAATAAACTCACAAAGAAACATGAATATGAGCATTATGAATTTTTATTGAAATTAGTGTCAAAATGTATTTAATGCTGGAACTCTGGAAATGCTGGTTGACAAAAATAATGTTTTTGCTTTGAAAAAGTGTCCCATCAACAAACAGATACAAAGACTGATCGCATGTACAAAAGTACTTTTGGTTAAATTTAGTAATTTCTTCCCATCATATAATTGAAACCACAAGTGTTGATTGAAACTGGTGGAAATTTGCTGTAAAGTTTACCACTTCAAAAATGATACACAAATTTTTTTTAATAATTGTTAACTCTGCACTGACACAATTTAACCAGTTTTCATTGTCCAAATAAACAAAATAACTGAAAATTAAAATGATTGTTCTGAACATTACCTTCAAACAGAGAGGGTACAAAACTTTGAGCTGCTATGAAAATGGGAGACTGTAGTCTCACAGGCATCAGCCTGACTGAGAGGTGATGATGCTCTCTCCTCCATTCTTTGGCAGCTAAAACATACAGCTTGATGTCAAAACTAGCCACAAACTCACTAGAATTAAATTTGTTTTCATCATGCATTAGGTATAAATCATGAATAACCGAAAAAAAAGACTATGTAATTAACCAAGCAATGTCCCAGAACCTTGTGAATTTGTAAACGTGGGTTTCTTTACGCAGTAATAAGACAAATTTGAAGATAAACATGCAATAAAATGAAAACCAATAGAAATGACTCCAATCGCTTCATAAAATATTGTATTTTGGCCCAAAAGTTTGATTAAACACTTCATTTGAGTAGCACAATTTATTTAATACATTAGTTTACGTGCTCCATATTTTATGCATTACATTGCAAAAAAAAGCAAAACATTGAGAGACCACTGTGAACACTAACAAGTGAACACTTGTGAACAACAAAAACCAACTTAAGCTGAAAAAAGCAACATTAATCCCTCAACCCAAACTGTATTTCATGGCCATCTGAAGCTGCTGATTTCCCCACTTCTTTCTTTCTTTCGCTGCAGCGCTTACACTGCATACAATCGCACATAAATTCACAAACAAAAGGAAACAAAGCCTGTAACAGAGGAGAAAACAGCATTTCTCAGTTGTCACTCTTCTACGAGATGATATCGTTTCTGAGGCCGAATATTTCTGTGTACTCAGAGGATGAGCAATGAAGACAGTGAGGACAGATTCCCAGGGAAGTGCAGGAGATCCCAGCCTGCTCATCATCAGGACCTGCCGGAGCTCTCCCGAATCTTCTAGCTTTTCACGATCCCTCCGTCGCCCTCACTCACAAAGCGCTTACGCCCCCTATTGGCCACAAGAACACATGTTATAACGCTAGTGTTTACAGGAAAAGAACTACAATTACGTAGCAGACATAGGCGGAGTTTAGGGGGGGCACTTCCCCCCAGACGAGAGCCAATCATGATTTTGTCTGAGCTATGAATAAAACATAAAAATTAAGTAATTTATATTTTCTCATTTTATTTGTATTATCTTGTTATTTTAGTGGATAGAACAAGTAAGTTTTGGGCTAAATGAATTTCTATGATATTTAAGCCCCATTCTCGCGAGCCGCGACTCATCATGATTCTTAATAGAGCCCGACCGATATATCGTTTTGCCGATATTATGAGCCTGTCGCCGATATATCAGTATCGGCGAATATGCCGCCGACATGAACATTTTTTTTACAGAACATATAATGCAGATAAAATGCTTGAAATGGTGTAATTACTTAGTTTGTCCAGCAGAGCGCGCTCCATTGTTTGCTACTGGCGACCTGGATGAAAGGTTTTAAAGCTCAAGTCTATGGAAAACCATTGAAACTTTGAACGGCCGAGGCGAATCCGCACCAAATTCGGGGGATCGCTTCAGCTCGAGGAACCCTCTCGAACGCGAATCGAGTTGCCCTCTTTCGAATGAGCCCACCCCCGCATGCATAGCCCCCGGGGTTCGGGAGTTACGGGTGGTTAAATTCGCGGTCCGGCGCCGACCGATCTAGCGATCCCATATATATTCTGTTTATGTATATACTGTATTCTATATATAGTACCAGTCAAATGTTTGGACACACGAATGGGAAAGTGTCCAAACTTTTGACTGGTACTGTACTATAATATACACAAAGAATATCGGCATATATATCGGTATCGGCCTTTTTTTTTTACTCCCTAATATCGGTATCGGCCCCAAAAAACCAATATCGGTCGGGCTCTAATTCTTAACTTGTCGCGATAGGCTACATGAGAGGACTCTCTTTTCATTATTTTCCCGCTTTAGCAAGTTAACTGAATAATGGAAATTCGTTGTATATTTTAATAAACCCATGAATAAAAATGTGGTGGACTGAGTCACCGCTGGCTGAACTGGACAGGCGATTTTCACATGAAGCGTTGGCCTCGAGTGTGGTGTGTGACACAGTATTCAGTTGTGAGAAAAACGGCACCAGTCCTCACTAAGCATATATGCCTTAAGCTTCACCCTCAGCTTGTGACAGCTGAAATGGATCTTGTGAAATGTGCGATCGCATCGCCGATCACTCTTGAGAAACTTAAAGATGAAGTAGGCTACGGAAGGACAAACATCCAAACTTTTTCAGACTACTGCAGCTTGCACTCACGCTGCCCGTTGGTTCGCCTTAGAGCCCTGCACGGGCGTCAAATTTAGGCCCTAGCCCGGCCTGTGTCCGACAGCTTATCAGAATTACCAGCCCGAGCCTGTCTTTTTTTCCCCCTTCTCCAAAAACAGCTTATACTACTCATTCAGCTATTAAAATGGTTCAGTTTTGTATGTAATGGCAAAGTGATTATATTTTGTTTAGTTTTTGTTTTTTAAAGTAACGACCAAGCGGCCAGCGGCAGACAGTGAGCCTATGTTTGATCAATTTAGCCTTCTCAAATCATCACAACTTGCCTAAAATAAAATCTATAGATATAAAACAGTTCAAGCATATAACAATGTTTAAACGTTAAACCTAGATAAATGTGCGCTGTAATGGGCCTAGTTTGTGCGGAGAGTGCATGCTGAAGCGC